CACATCAGATCGATTTTAAAACAATAATAACATATTTAGTGTAATAATTGAAATTTGAATAGTGTAAGATTTATACAGTTTTACTCTTATCGAGTAGAGAAGTTATTTATGATAGATACACAACTCCAAAAAGAGAAGCTATTTAGAAAAAGGTTGCACGACAAAAAAAAATAGCTACGAAATATCGAGATATAGAGCAAAATGAAACAACAGATAGCAAATACACAATAACAAATCAAGAAATACACTCTAGTTAATCTGCAAAATATCTAACTCAATGTTAAAGAGTCAAAGGAAAAGAAAAAAAAACGAAGTGTTTCAATTGTAAAAAGACCTAATTAAGTGTAATTTATATAATCGTGAAAATTATAAGCAAATAATTAATAATGGAGTGGACGTATATCTACTTCCATTACAGATGCTTCTAATGTTAGACGAATTAATATTATTTCAAAGATGGTCAAGTCTAGTTAAATTTTTTAATTCTTTTTATTGTCAATGAATTATTTTTCTTTTCAAATTTTACCAGAAACCATTATAAAAGAAGATTCAGTTCATAGTATGCCGTCAGTATTTCATCATAATATTTTACTTGTCCTGAAAACTGATTTTACTTCAAAAGATCGAAGGTCTATTAGAAACAATTCCTCTACTTCTTGGAGGTAAATGTAAAATATGTGTACACCCCCACGTACCTCCCTATACCATATATTTCTAAAACTCATTGTCCACTCTTGTCTACAGGTATTGATAAGGTCTGCGTATACTCTATTCTTTTCAATCTTGATCACTTAGTGTGATTTCACTGAATATGTTATTGTTATTGTTGATTGTTCACTCTTATATTTTGAATTGGTTTATCTTTCCCATAGGAGCGATCTTCGTTCACTTTTAATTGATATATCTTTTCTTGATATATTAAAAGTGAAAAATAAAAATGAAAATCTACTTCTGAAATAGTTGACATATAAAAGTGAACAAAGATAATATAAATACGTAAACTAACATGTGTTGTGGACTTGTGGTGGATGGTTGAGATATCTTCATCGTTGATCATATGTTTTGGGTTCTGAAATGGTAAAAATCATATTAGATGTGTTGTTTCTAACGATGGATCTTGCAGGTCACTTGTTGTTGCACTTCCTATTAAAGAATAAGATGTTGATTCTATAGCAGCTTCAATTCTCTCATTTTTTATCTCGTAATTATTCGATTCCATCCCTAAAACTAGCTCCGAATTTAATCGGACCCCTTTCATATCAAGTGCCCGAATTATAAGAGCAATTTTGAAGTATCAAGAGAATTCAGAATTGAACTGGGCTGGGACTAGTCAATGTTCATTTCTTAGATGTGTTGGTCGAAATCCATTTTGGGCTTTATGATTACGTGGGCTTTGTTAGCTTAGCTTGGATTATTTTGGGCCAAGTGCACAAACACCTAATTTGGGGACTACTATTTAAACTGTAGCCAATTTATTTTTTTTAAAGAAAAATATAAATTTATTCATTTTGAAATAATTCAGATGTACGCGATGAAATTACAAAATTCATAAACTTCAAATGTTTTTTCTGAAGTATAGCTTTGTCAAGGCCAAACATCGAAATATTTCAATTGATTTGAGTGCATTCTTGATCATGGAAAGTAGTAGGAGATGTAATTTATATACATGATGATAAATGTCAAGAACTTTTCTTTATTTTAGAAGAGCACTAAAATACAACTTCGATGGAATAATAGATATCAAATCCCGCCATTGAGATGTCGAATAGATTCCTAAAACTTAAAGAATGATGAGCAATTTTCACATATAGCAAACATAAAAGTTATATTTGTATGTTATATTGCGCTCCATAACAAACATAAAGTTTGTTATGATATTAATATGTATATTTCGCTATACATATACAAAAGCAATTGTATAATCTATTTCGGTATACATATACAAAAGAATCAATTGTATAATCTGTGTTTGTATAAAGCGAGAAAGAGAGAAAGACAAAAGAAAACTGGGCAGGGGAAGATCTGTATTTGTATAATCATAAGTGTATATGACGAAAATATATGTATTTGTATATATAATTTTCTCTCGTTTTATACAAACACAAATGCAATTTATACATTTGTGTTTGTATAAAGTGATAGAAGCGAGTGAGAGCGACGAGCGAGATCTGGGAGAGAGGAGAGATGGGAATGAAAAGATATGTATTTATACAATTTTCTCTGGCTTTATACAAACACAAACACATTTTATACATTTGTGTTTGTATAAAGTGAGAGAGGCGAGGTGAGACTGCCCAGCGAGAAGCGAGAGTGACGAGCGAGAAATTGAGGGAGAGAGGCGAAATGACAACAGTTTGCTATGAGTTACAATTAAATCAAACTGTGGTTATAACATTTAATTTAAATTAATAGTTTACTATTTTATACAATTTTCCCAAGAATGATTGACCACCTTTTACGTTAGAAGAGCAAAAGGCACGATGCATATAATTATAGAGTTTTGACAAAATAAAAATAAAAATTGAGGCTTGTTATTTAAGAAACTTGATCAAAGTAATAAAATAGTATTGAAACTATTTAATTATTATATTCACCAAAACAACACGCACATTAGAATCATATGTTACAACTTATAACCATCAAAACAAGGTGTAAACGACTCACCTTAGATTGACTAAGAAAATTCAATAGCTTTTGTCACAATAATTCATATACGTATTAGATCACAAACTCAATTATTATTATTATTATTATTATCATATATATAGTACTAATTCAACATTTTAGAAATTCATTAAACTTCAAATCATGAATCTGTTTCCAAATTTGACTAATCGCCATTTCACTCCTCCATTATTCATCACAATTTCTACGAACATGACCAATTTTACCACAATTCCAACACACTACATCTCCTTTTCTGGATCTAGATCTAAACTGTGATGAACTTTCAGTTGAACAAATCTTCAACAATGAAGATTTAACTTCATCCAATGAAATTGTATCTTTACCATCTACAATTTCATCAACAAAATCTTCATACGAACAAGGTAAAGTACGCAATAACATCAACAATGCCTTAGTGCCATCATCAATTTTCTCATCCAAATTTTCCAGATCCGTAACGATCGATTCAAAATCATTAATATGAGAAGTAACAGAAGCAGTAGTAGTACCTTGTTTCATTCGAAGAGAATATAAACATTGCTTTTTAAGCAGCTTGTTTACTCGAATGTTCTCCAAATGCAGAGCTTCTAATTTATCCCAAACTTATTTTGCTGTTCTCTCTTCAATTACTTGGCGTAAAATTTCATCTGCAAGGTATAACTGAATTAGAGATCGAGCTTGTTCGTCGATCTCCTTCCATTGATCGGCTTACATGTCGATCGGTTTCTCTCCGGTTAGAGTTTTATGTAAACTGTTTTGCACAAGGACGGCGTGCATTTTGATTTTCCATAGAGTAAAGCTTGTTTTCCGATGTCGAATAATCTCAGTGACATTTTGAAACTTCAATTTACCCAGCAAAATACACCATGAATTTGAGAGTTCTTCTCTAAATGGGAAACTCAGATATGAAGTAGAAAATTTCTTTTGGTATTTTCTGGCGGCTTTCGGCGCCGCAATTGATGGCAAAAATGGTCACTAAGGACTAGAACCGTCAAAACGGGCTTAACCCATAGGATCGGCTCAATCCAATTCATTATTGGGGTAGAGTTGAGATAAAAAATTTCAAGTCCATTTAAAATTAGAGCTTATAAACCCGACCCATATAATCCCTTAGCCCTTAAAACTTGATCGAGGTCGGCTCATGGGCCAAAACTTTTTATTTAATGGTAACTTATAATAATCTCAGTAGTATATAATCTAATTACTTAAATACACATTATGTTATAATATTATAAATCTTACCAGATTTTGGTACGTTCAGATACATGTATCTCAGAATATATGGACTCAAAATTAGATTAATTTGTTCTAAATACACTCTATCCAAGTAGATTCGCATGTATCTGGGATACATAAACAAATCTCTCTCCCATCTTGTTTGTCACTCTCTTATCTCGCTCGTGTATCTGGTATGCGAGATACATGCTAATTGCACTAGATTTTTTGCTAGTGTTATTGAAACAACACCATTGTTTGCCATATTTGATTTAAAAATCTTCTCATTTTCTTGATGTTATAGAATTATAAGTTTGAAAAGAAAAAAATGAAAAAAAAGGGCTAGCCCGCCCCAGCCCTCGGCCCTTCTAGGGTTGGGCTGGGTTGAGCATTTTCAGGCCCTACCAAATGAAGGGCCGGCCCATCCTAGCCCTTCAAATTCATTGGCCTGCGAGACTTCGGCCGGATGGGGCTGGGCCGACCCTTTTTGATAGCTCTACTAAGGACGTACAATAATATATTTTTTTTAAAAATAAATAAAAAGCACGATAATTCTTTTTTAAAAGTGAAAATTTCGTAAATAACGATATTATCACTTATTTTTTTCAAAACAAAACGAGGTTTTGCTAAGTGTCAAAATGTGATAGTGCTTTAATTTTATAATCTAGCAAAATACATACTCTATATCTAAACTGAAAATCGGGTAGATATCGTATCATCTTGTAATTATATGTATATGTATGTGTGAACAATTGTATGTGTATTACATGTATATTCGAAGCACAAGTTAGATGTATGTGTGACCAATTTTATGTGTATGTGGTAGTAGAGATTAGGATTTCTAGACGCATATATACTTGTGTATATATTAAACTACACGAAATTTGTAATGAGTGAGCAATATCCGTCTTTCTATTTTATTTTTAAAAAAAAAATTAAATGTCAATAATAGGTAAGTAAATTGCTTCCACTTGTTCTCATTTAATAACTAAAGTGCATTCTTTAGAAGAGAGAGATTGGGATAAATTGGGACAAGTGGATTGATTACTCATACAATCAACCAAATAAAGGACCCTTTTCTCTCCACAATAATTACTTGTCTAGTCAAGGAAGAAAAGTGAGAAAATAGAAATGGAGGGTGGTAAAGGAGGAGTGGTGAAGCACATTTTGCTAGCAAAGTTCAAAGATGGGATCCCACCTGAACAAATTGATCAGCTCATTAAGCAGTATGCTAATCTAGTCAATCTTGTTGAACCCATGAAGGCATTTCAATGGTACCCACTTTCTTTTCTCTTCCATGATCTTCAATTTTGCTCTTCTGATCAACCCTTTTTCTCCCGTTTTTGACCTCATCTGTGGTTGATTTCTCTTTTAGTTGAGTATTAAAGCAACCCCTTTTTATGTGTGTGCTTGGTTTGGAGGTTCAATGTTGACATTCTTATGATTGTGAAAACATAAAAAGCAAAACTTTAGGATTCTTGATTTTCATTTATGTGTGTGCTTGATTTGAGGTTCAGTGTTGACTTTCTTGGTTTTTATGATTGGAAACATAAAAACCAATTATTGCCAGTTATTAGGCTATTGACACTTCTTTAGAATGGAGCATTGACCGGAGACGTTAGGCTTGTAAAGGGCTACTTCTAAAATGATCGTTAAGGTTCCATACCATTCATATCGTATAATTGCTTCATTGTGGATCTAACATCACCTATAACTTCCTTGGGTGTTTCCGGAGTGGTTACATTTACTAGAGGTTGCATCACCTGCAACAGACATACTTAAACTTAAAAGACAACAAAAGGTGATTACTGATAAACAAAGTTCTCACGAATCACACCAACTTATACAATGTGCTGTCCGCTTTCTCTCAGACACTAGTGGCTTATGTGGTGGTCAGCGTTACTAGGTGCACCTCCTTGCGTCCCTATAAAATTTTTAGAAACGTGAAAGTTCCGCCCTTAGCTTGTTTCCAGTATATGTCTTTTATGTTACTTCTCATTTATGTCTACTATACCTCACCCGCTTCTCGTGTGCAAACTAATGCATCCTTGCCTCGGCCAGAAGCGGGAGAGGGGGATAAGCTGCGTTTGGTATGGAGGAAAATGTGTCTCATGGAAAATGTTTTATGATGGAAGATCATTTCTCTGATCCTTTTAAGGTGTATGGTTCGGTAAGTAAGTAGTTGATATATTGAGATAAGTTCTATAAAAATAGATATTTAAAGCACAAAATGACTTTCTTTCTTTTGTGCCTATGCCTACCTGTAACATGTTAAGGATTTGTTATTTCTTCCAGCATTTTGAAATTGAAGATGCCATTGTCCTTAGGACGAGTTCTATGTTACTAGTAGCGTGAAATCTTGAGAACATTTCCGACCCCTTCCCCACTCGCCTAAACACCATCTAGGAAAAAGAGAATATCCAGTAGTTGGTTTGTTTTTGGCGTTGCCAACATCTAAAGATTATATCACGCTTTGACTAAGATACTCCAGAAGTAGTAACCTCTGAGATCTGAAAGAGCACTCGAGTTTCCACTATGGGACGGAAGGGATAGTTTAAGCTCGACATACAAAGTTCACAAATGATCATTCACTCTATGTGCATAGTGTTAAAATAAAATAACAAATGCATTCCTAGAATTGGAACTATAAATGTTTTGATTTTGGTAATACCCCCTTCTAGTTGTTAGAGCATAGCCTGTGCTATGTCAGTTAGGTGATGGGTTTGAATCCTAGGCAGACAATAGCCTAGATTTAAGTAGAGAAGGGAGGAGGAGTGGGTCTATTATCTATCGAGTTTCAAACTGTACACCATTGGACTTCGAGGATTTATCGGTTATCCAAAAAGAATTGCACTTATAAACTGAACTTGAAGAGATTGTCCTGTTGAAGTAAACTCAATTTTGATTTATATATATGCTTGATGGAAAGTGATGTAGAAGTAATATTTTGTCTTGCTTCTGGTAGCAATGCCCTAAGGCTTTATGTCTAGGGAACTTGGGGTAGAAAGAACATTGTGAGGCACGGTGTTATCAAAAGCAAAAAGCGCAAAAAAAAATTCTAAGGTCTATTGAGGCTTTAAGAGCAAAGCGCAAATAAAGTGTAGGCTTTAATGAAAAAAGGTGCAAGGGAGAAAAAATACAAATGTATTTGTTTAGTCCAAAACTAATAATTATAAGCATTATTGACAAACATATGAACAAAGAGATTGAGAAAAACAATATTATAAAACTAAAATATCAATTGTTTAGTGTTGCCTCTTGAACCTTGATTACGACATTGAAGCGCACATTAAGTGAGTCAAAGTGCTCAACAAGTTTTGAGCGTCGCTTTAGGGCTTAATCACGCCTTTGACAACACTAGTGAGGCATTAGTTTTTTTTCTTGTAAGTTCATACAAGTATTGAAATGTAATTTGTATGTCATTATTGCAGGGGTAAGGATGTGAGCATAGAAAACCTTCACCAAGGTTTCACTCATGTTTTTGAGTCGACGTTTGACAGTTTAGAAGGCGTTGCAGAGTATGTAGCTCATCCTGTTCATGTTGAATTTGCAAATACAATGCTTCCTCAGCTGGAGAAAGTCCTTATCATTGACTACAAACCACAGTAACTCAGTCCCTAAACTGGATTCACGAATTGATGCACTATATCAGTTTTACTTTACTGTACTGAAATCCAATAAGAACACAAACTTTTCTAAAGGGTGTGTCTTGCTTGTTTGCAATTATTGTATTCACTTCATAGACGCTAATGCGAGTAAATTATGGTCAGCTTGGGCTGTTTAAACTCGAGGAAGAATGTTCTTCGTTCTTCGTTCTTCTCTTCCCAGGGAGAATGAATGATGAACAACATATAAGTGCATCAATAAACTCATATTAGTGTTTCCATTACCTCCTTTTTTTTTAACATTTTACTGAGCAAATTCGTCGATTGTTGGTAGCTCTCAAACACTTCAATGACTCTACCCAGTCCCGGCCAGGCATTTGGATTTACGCTGGATAGGTTTACTAAAGGAGATAAATAGCTACGTTACACAATATATTTTCATTGCGACAATGCATATTAACAATTGAAGGACAAAAGAAACAAGGAAACAACATGGCTAATAAAGCATTAAACTCACATTTCTGTAGTTTTGATGTCAATGAGATTGCCGCACTGCAGAGTTCATAACAAGAATATTAGCAAAGAATCATACAAAAATGATTGAATCTTCAGATGCTTGGAAATGATCAAAGTAGTTGAAAAGGAAGATCACTATAACTATAGCCCCTGGTAAGTTTACCAATGAAAAACAATTTATTTGATATTATGGATGACTTACACAACCTTTGCCGGTATCACAGCCATACAACGCTTGAGGGAGAACACCATTTAAAGTGAAAAGTACAACAACATACCAAATGAAATCCCACAAGTGAGGTCCAAAAAGGGTAGAGGTACAGAGACCATACCATTACCTTGTGGAGGTAAAGTGGAAAGTAAAGACTCGTAAATTTCAATCAAGCAAAATCTATAATGCTGATCAAAGATGGGGCGGGGCTAAAAGAAAACTCAATGAAACTCACCATTGATGGCATTTAAACTCGACATGCAGCTTGTATCTTTATTACAGTAATGAATATGCAGAAGAGAAAACATTAACTTTGAGGTGGTTTGAGTACCCTATTAAGAGAGGAGGGGGGATGGAAACTTCTGTTCCAGATATACTTGAGGAATGATATGGCAATTAGAAAATCTGCTCCAAGTATTTGAGATACTCGAAGGAAAATAAAAAACAATGATATGACACTATCTCTACATGTGAATGGGCTTGTCATAAGTGGCCATGGCTGCTTCTTTCAGAGCCTCGCTCATTGTTGGATGTGCATGGCATGTACGAGCAATGTCTTCACTTGATGCTCCATAATTCAAAGCCAGGACTGCTTCGTGAATAAGCTCCCCTGCATTTGATGACATAATATGGACGCCCAAGATTTTGTCGGTTCCCTTCTCAGCAATTACCTTTACAATTCCTTCAGCATCGTCAATTGCCTTGGCCCTACTGTTTGCAAGGAAAGGAAATTTGCCTACGCGATAATCAACTCCAAGTGCCTTAACCTGTTCTTCAGTTTTCCCAACGGAAGCCACCTCTGGGTGAGTGTAGCAAACACCAGGAACCAAATCGTAGTCCACATGACCCTCCTTGCCTGCAATGAATTCCACACAAGCAACACCATCCTCCTCTGCCTTGTGAGCAAGCATTGGCCCAGGAATGACGTCACCAATTGCATATACCCCTGGAACATTACTGGCAAAACGTTCATTGACCAAGATCCTACCAGCCTTGTCAGTTTCAACACCTATCTTGTCCAATCCAAGTCCTGAAGTGAATGGAACCCTACCAGCAGAAACAAGAACAACATCAGCCTCAAGAGTAGTCTGCTCACCACCAGCTGCAGGCTCAAGGGTCAGCTTCACACTATCGCCAACAGTGTCAACTGACACCACCTTAGTTTTAAGCATGAACTTCATCTTTTGCTTCTCAAGAGAACGTTGGAATTGCTTGCGAACTTCACCATCCATGGTTGGAACAATATCAGATGCAAATTCAACAACAGTCACCTCTGAGCCAAGGCGGCACCAGACAGATCCCATTTCGAGGCCTATGTAGCCAGCACCAATAACAACCAGTTTTTTTGGAATTTCAGTCAAAGCTAAAGCTCCAGTAGATGATACAATTCTTTTTTCATCAATGGTTAACCCAGGTAGACTTTTGACATCAGAACCAGTCGCAATTATAATATTCTTCCCCTTAACAATAGTATTACCACCTTCCACGGTGTCAACAGAAACTTCGGAAGGGGAAAGGAATTTACCATAGCCCTTGACATAGTTCACTTTGTTCTTCTTAAATAGACCCTCAATACCCCGTGTTAGGCCAGCCACAGCCTTATCTTTCTGGGCCATCATGGCAGGAAGATCTACCTCAACAGAAGAGAACTTCACACCATGACTAGCAAAAGAATGTTGAGCTTCATGATACATGTGAGAGGAATGAAGAAGTGCCTACACATGAAAAGCAGAAACAGTAAACATGAATTAGACCTCAAAAGCTGACTACAGAGCTCCAAGCACAATCATCGACGAGAAAGATGGGCATAAACCTGTGCACTACTCTGCCAAGTATATTTTAAGAGTACCATTGTTAATTTTACTATGCCGAAGAATGAACTTAAGTTCATGATGTCACAAAAACAGAATGACAGTTAGCAAATTACTAGAGCAGAACTCTATAGTTGAGGGTTATTACAAGATAAGAGGAGGTCATAAGAATATATGCACCCTATGGACAGCAATGGGTAAGCTAGGCACTAGGTTATATACCAATGAAAATGGCCTCTCGGTGAAGCTATGTCTTTATTCACAACAAGAGAACCCTCGTGCATGTCACATTTTAAGGGCATCAAAGAAACTGAGTTAACCATATACATTCAGCTTATCTTCTCTTCTTTGTTCATATTCCACAAATATATCGAAACTAACTAAGACCAAAATATTCAGAGGACTCTTCAGACAAAATAAAAAACATGCAATTGTCAGTAAAGTTGTTTTCTTTTTCAAATCCAAACAGCTCTTCTTACTTAGAATATGTCGTCGATTCAGCATTAGATAAAGGGGGTAAAATCCCCGTTTTTACAATTTACAATAAGCAGTTAAAATTATTTTATCAATATGAGTATCCTATATCAATATAATATTTATTTTTGAAACCACCTCTATCTTAACATAGAATAGGGAAAGTTGGGAATATATACTTCAATGCAAATTAACACATAAGAATAAATATATACCTTGCTAAGAAGCCAAACCAAGGAAAAAATGCACAACCATGAGAAAAGTATTTAACCTTCAGAACTTTTGACGAAAAAAATAGAACAAAGGAAAGCCCACTAAATATTCGCGAGAAAACATTCATCAAGATTAAAATCTATATCAAGATAGTATGCCTCATTTAAGGGTGGCAGATTGGGCCATCCAGAACTTTTGGTCTTTAACTAGCTTAGGTAAAACTATTGAAAGGAGAACCGATACATGTTGAAGTTCAAATTCAGGAAAAAAGGAAGAAGCTGAAGCACAAAAAAAGAAAAGAAAAAAGAAACAGGTTCCTAATTGTATATGAAAGCTACAAGTCAACTCGTCAATTGGAACCACAACTAACCACATCACTCAGCAACTAAAAGAATGTGACTGTTGATCATGCCAGATGTCTTTACTTATATATGTAAGTCACAGATTAACTCATCAATTGGAAATTAGAATGTCTACAATCCCCTTCCAATAGTTTCATATAACTCAAAAATTAGGTCTATATTTTATTTTACTTCTTAGAGAAAGCACCTTCTATTTTATTTTATGTCACTTTGGATAAAATTACTCAATTCTAATTCAAATAGAAACAAATTATATTTAGTACTGAAAAGAACATATCATTCATTATGCAGCATATATCTGCTATCGAAATCAGTGGGGAGACGATTGCCATTTCCTTCCATCTTTTATCAACCAAAAAATATATAATCAACACTTCACAAGTCACAGCTGGATAGTCAGAAATTACATACTCCCTCCATCCTATTTTATGTGACACTCTTTCCTTTTTAATCCGTCCCAAAAAGAATGTCACCTTACTATATAATTAGAAACAATATAACTTTAAAATCCCCCCTTTTCCCTCAATGAAATGATTTATAGCCACATAAATATCTAAGGATTGTTTTAGATTACAAATTTCAAAAGTCTTCCTTTATTTCTTAAATGCCGTGCCAAGTCAAATGGTACCACATAAAATGGGACGTAGGGAGTACTGTTTTTGGTCTTTCTTATTTTTCCTTTTCTGCAGGGGTGGATACTTGATTTGAAGTGTCAACATAGCAAATGAAAGTTGTATGTGTAATACTTCCGATAATCCTAAAGCTAATCCTATAAAAATTATTAGAAGCAAATGAGAGATAATAAGTGATGAATAACTAAACAAGATTTTAGCATGCAATCTGGTTGGAAAAAAAAAGATGTCGATGACATACAACTTCTCTTAATGCAAAAAATTTCAATACATGGATTAAACATAACAACCAAAGACTTTTATTACTAATGCAAAATTTAACACACATTATTCCTTTAAATAATACAGGTCACAAACTAATACTGCATATTTAAGAATTGCCTAAAAGTGTATTCTTATGTTAACTACATCCCTCTTCGGAATTTCAAAGCAACTTCAGAATCTTTTAGAGAAGTGAATACCTGAATTACTAAGTGTGTTTGGTATGACGAAGGTCACTTGTCAAGAATTCTGTCTCCTGGTATTTGGTTACCAAAAAATAAAGGAATACATTTCCGTCAAAGGATAGAAAATGAACCTCATGGCTCATTTATAGGTGGAAGTTCCTTGTCACTATCTTAATTTTTTAACTTCATCCTACTTGCTCCAACTAATACTTAAAAGATATTATTACTATTTATCTTCAATACAACAAAAATTCATCATAACACTCTCCAATTTGCGAACATTATTACTTATCTTTAGCACATTTTTTTTCAGAAAATATTTCACTCACTAACTGAAATGCTAGAAAAAAACATTTTCTATGGAAGAGCATTTTCCATCACACCAAACACAAATTTTTCAATTTTCTCACAGAGCTCACATTACAGAATAACTTACTATAGATTTATTTAAACCCTAAAATACAAAACTGATATCTGATAACAGCCTCTCAAATCAAAATCATCACAAAGTTAACCAAAGGAATACCACAGATAACGCATTTTTTTAGCTCAATACTCAATAGCAGAATACTCTTAATCGACATCATCGTCACATACTATCGCATAATAAACAGTATTA